GCTTTGTTTTTGTTTGGATTTTTTCAGGTGTGCAGAAAACATTGAATAACACAGAAACGCCTCCAGTACCTGAGACCTGTGTTATGGTACAGTACCAGTAGTGTGATGTAATGCTGCTCTAATTAGAGCACAGTTGGGTTCATCAGTAATTGGAGGAATAACCTGATATAACAAAGTCATTTATGGTGATTGCTGTGTTATCGGCAGGTGACTCACCCCACTGTACGACAGCGTCAGCTGACCCAGAAACTCAGACACCAGCGCCATGATGGATTCACCTGCAACACACAGTTCAAGCAGCTTAAAGGTGAGTTTACATCATTTTCTGCAGTCATACAGTTTCTGTTATCGCTTACTTGATAGTTAAGAAAAAGGCAGTGAGAGAAGGTTCAGTATCAGAAAGTCTGCAGACTGCTGGCAGTCGAGCTTCTCTGGAGGAGTCTCTGGAGCTGTGTTATGTCCTCTTTAACCTTTGAGTGGAAACACTGGGTTTCCTCCTCTGACTGTCTAAAAACAGACCAACAATGGCCTTCAGACTCCAGCAGGCTGTAAACACTCATACGCTGGAGGGGTGTTTGATTTATTGAGCGGGACGTGCCAGCGGAGGGCGGGTGTGCAGATAAGGAGCATGAATCAAACAGATCTGCAGGAATCTCGGGTGTGTTGTGTAACACGGTGAAGCTGAAGCTGTAAAGTGATTACTGCAGAGTTTCCTCCACCTTTGACCCTCTTACAGACTCTGCCAGCATCTCATCTCGCAGCTGCTACCAACAGCCCTGAAGTCTCGGCTCGTCCCGTCGTCTGCTTGCTCCGTTCAAAGAGGAATTCCACATATCGAAATAAATCACGGAGCACAGAGAGAACACGTCCCAATTAACCTCCTCGGTAAACCAACCCGATTAATAGTTGAAGAGAAATTAATTTACAACAATCTGACAATTTCTACTTCCCCAGTTTTCTGTAGCAGCGTCTAAGAGACACCAAAAATAATCTGAATGTATAAACTGCAAAGTTTTTTTCTATCACTTCACACAAAAATGTATTTATTAAAGGTACTTTTTGTAGATCTCATCGCCATATGTAACTAAGACATTCACCACCAGGGGGCAGTGTTTTACCCATCAGTGCATTGAAATTTGGGGGTGTTTTGTTAATATTTGTATAGTTTTTTAGTATTTGTAATACTCGTAGTGATTTCTG